TAAGTTTTACATGCAAAACCTCAGCCGCCGCTCCGACGTCGTGGCTTCCACACAAATTACCACCACTGTAAAAATCGACAATAAGCTCGCTCTCTATTGCTTTCAAACTACAAAGCGTCCTCTTCGAAAGCGTCCCAGCACCGACATTCTTCTTATAGGACGACATTTTCATGGAAAGGACAATAAATACTATGCCGAGCTTGAGAGTACACCCTTTAAAACCATCGATACACACATCAGATTATGCTATTTAACAGTCCTAACATGCTGAATCTGGCTGTAACGGGCACCCTTTGTTTGGGTGCCACAATACTTCACGTATACTGGCACGTGCAGAGGAAGGTAATCTACTCAAACAGCTAGTTTAAGCAGAGGAAAGAGAACTGTATTTAAATAGTTAAGCTATCAGTGTAACTTCAGTCTATATCTAACCATACTTACTTACATTGCCATATGACGACAACCTGCTCAGCACTCATTACGCGCGTCTAGCAGCGATTGGTGGTAACCCTGGTTAATATGTCTTTATCAACCAATCTTCGAGCAGTGCATGAATATAATCCTACAAGGGGAATAAATTCCCTCAATATTATTCATTTCGGATAGTATTGGTAGATGATTGTCACGATAGACAATATCCCTATTGACACCGTTTGGTGTCAATATCATGTAACGGGCTACCCCATTACACTGGCCCTGACTGACATCGAGGGTTGGTGCGTGGAATTTACTCGAATATTTATACCACGTCTGTCTCAGTCTGTCTGACACAATCTAATACATGTTGTTAAATTCCAAACATGCCAGCAACATTATGTGTAAATTGGTTTGAGTAACAGGAGCATTTTCAATATCGTTGCCTTGTACGATTCCAAGGGACTAAGCTGCAAAAACATTTCACGTCTTTTCGTTTAGTAAGGCGCTACGCGATCCTCATGGAGCATCGTTGCGCTACAATGTCTAGTGTGCGAAGTCATCGCAAGTTTCTCAAAGCTTCGACAAACTGAATCCGACGTGTTTGACAACTAAGCTAGGGATCGATGCGTCGGTATCCATTCGGTCCGAAGCACTACAACTCGTGTACCTAACAGAATGAATACTACTGTCGGCGTATTTCGAAAAGACATACACAGACATAAGCCGCAAAAACACACTTCATGCCGATCTTTTTATTGTGTGTTTTGTCGATCAATTTAGTGCATAGTAGTCGTTGCTAAGGTGCATCTGTCCTTTCATTTGTCCGTTTGATCGGTGTACATACCCAATCGAATGGATCTCTGTGTATGTACTCGTTTCCTTGTGAAGAGGCAGAAACTGGATGTAGATCGATTGTATTGAGTTAAAAGTTTTTTAGATGTCGTGAGCCAACCAAACCATTCGAAAGATCGCTCGTGTCGCCTAGGTGGGCCATGTTGTCCCGGATAATGGTATGATCTAGGTTCCTTAAATATTTCTGTCATGAGCAACATATAGATGCTATTATTTTTATTTTTACCCTGCCTTTCTTCCTCAATTGCAGTCACGTAAAGATGTCAAAGTAGGTCTTGCTACACTTCCACCGCACTTGTGATTTTTGTACTGTAAGAAGATTACGTCACTTTGCGATACAATTTTGGAACTGACGTTCATTTTTACCATACAAGTCCTACTTTCCATCCATACAGTAGCAATCTCAACTTGGACCATCACAACTTTGGACCTTGTGCCTGGATGGCAATCCAACTCAATTAGGCTAACTGTCACAACTGCCACCAACATTTATCAACTGTCGTCAGCTTCAGTCCAACTTATTCAACTCGCCTCTCTTAAGATATACATCTCGCACCTCATACTTATTTTAAACATGCATCAATAGCGGTAAACGATATTTGTCGAGAGCTTTCGTGAAGAGAATGGCACGGTTATAGACACCGGCCACTATTTTCAAAACCAACTTGCTTTGCTTCATCTGCTCGAGAGCAAAGTGCCAGTAGAGCTCGGTGTGTCGCGTACTCTGAGAGTAAGTTAAATTTGTCGCTATCACGTATGCGTTCTAACTGTCGATGCCAATGTGCGCCGCAATAGTAATCGCTGGAAGTTCTTCACAAAATTTCGATCGCAAACTGCTTCCATGGTTTTGTCACAAGATGCCACATATTTCCGCCTCAGTAGTGAACAAAAATATAATTGGATGTCGCTTTGACGACCACGATATTACACCATCTACGAGCATTAAAACAAAACCTCCCGTACTTCTCCGAACCACAGCATCTGAAGCCCAGTCGCTATCACAAAGCCCTGAATGATAATCCTTGTTTTCTGTGTGGGAGTTGCGCGCTTGTAAATGATACCATGGCCAATTGTTACAGAAAGATAGCGAATACTCGATTTAGAGTAGTAATGTGGTTTTTAGTCGGGTTGTCCACAAATCGACTAAGCTGACCCTCTGCATTGGCCAAGTCAGGTTGAGAGCATGTTGTCAAATACTTAAACCTTCCCACTGCACCACGATAGTCCATCATCATGTCAACCTCTTCATTGTCTTTTGCACACATCAGGATTTACTTTGTTTTAAGAGATTCCCAACAGCATGCGCTTGCTCATAGTGAAAAGTCTGCGATCTTTTATGCGACATTTTAAGGTACTCTGTGAGCTCACCTTTACCCTTGATACCGTACTCCAACGCAAGTTTCGCGAATAAGTCCACCTTAACAGATTCATTGTCTTTTGCACACAAGATATCGTCAACATACACGAGTACAAGAACTAATGTTCCATCCATGTCATTTCGAAAGTATAATTGAGGTTCTGCTGAGCACCTCTGATACTTATATGCAGTTATCCACTGATGATCCTCATCATTTCACTCACGTCCAGAATGCCGCAAGTCATAGCCTTGCGCACTACATACATGTGACCATCTCGATATGGAAATCCGTCGATTGCTTTCACGTATTGTGGCATCTTCGACATCACATTCAAGTACGTGGTGTTGATATCACCACCGTAAACCTTCAAATTCGGCTCTGCAGATAATGCAAGCGTCATGCGAAAGCTTGACATCCGAACCATAGGAGCGAATGTTTCAGCGAAGTCAATGCCACGCCTCCGCCAGTTTTCAAGAGCAAATTGGCGAGCTTTTATCCGAATAACGTATCCATGCTGATCCGTTTTGAGGACCCGTTCCCACATATTTTATAGGTCTTGCGTCTGGGGGTATCTTCCCTTTCGTAATTTCTTTGAGTAGGATCTTGTGCTGCATAGATTCTATTTCGTTACGCTGAGCTTCTTGCCAATATTCTGCGTATTATGAACTTCCTGCGTCCCTGCTATTTCTTGGCATCTTGACATTACTCGCTCCTAAAGTCTTGCCCTATTCGTCCAGCATCCTTGCTTGTGTGGCGAAGACTACAAAATCCTTGTTCCTTTTAGACTTGTGTCGCTTCGACACCTCTCTCAATTTGTCCAGCACGCTCGCATGTATGGCTAAGGCTAACATAATTTTGTATTTATGTTTACTGATACCTTTACCGTGTCTTGGACACTACCTACGTCTACAAACGTTGATGGACTGAAAGAAGCTGGTATCTCAAGGGACTTCAATTCATGAGCATCGGTATCAGTCTCATCTTCCTGATTCCCCGAGCCTTTCTCGGTATCACATATTTCAGTATTGGTGTCACATACGTCAGTCTAATGTTCGGACCGATCCACCACCTCGGTGCCAACCGTATCCAATGTAAATTGCCTGTAGTGCCTGTAATAGATGCTTCGACACCAGTCGCCGAGGTCTCTTCGATAAGCGCTTCCATAGTGAAAGATTTATTGTCGACTGATGCCGTAGGTGCACCACCTTCGTCGTCATCTTGAAAAGAGAAACGAATCCGTTGTAGTATGGGCCATTTTACTGCACTACTGACGATCACGATAGACAATAGACTCATCGATGTCTACTCTGCAGCCCACTTGCGAGTATGTTCTTGAAAGTGGTAGATTATGTATCCTGCATTGTCTTCTTTTAGGCAAAGTACAACCCCAATCTTTGCATTGTCTTTATGCCGTGGGCAATAGGGATCCTTTGGCACGTGAACGTATGCTACTGCTCCAAATAAGCGGATATGATGCAGATCTGGCTTCACGCTAAACATAAATTGTACGGTGTGCAAGTTGCTGTCTTGTTGTAGACGCAATTTTTCAGATATACTGCACACTCATATGCATCTGGACATAACTGCGGTGAGAACCCAGATACTCGAAGCATTGTCTTCTTCATGGTACCTAACGATTTGTGCTGCCTTTACACGAGATTCATGTGATAGCGTTTCGGGCCGACTTATACATGCTCCGTAGCGGAGCTGCACAGCTATATAAGTCAGAGGAAGACTTATTCAACAAGCCAACGGCCTACGGCTGACATCCTTTTAGTTCTACGGAACTAATTTATTAAGGTAAAGAGTCAACCAGTTCTACGGAACTCGGGTGGACTCTACGAGCTAACAGCTCAACTACTGTAGTTCTAAGGAACTACACGCACAATTTGCGAAAGGGGTCTTCCGGAGTCTAAAGACTCTCTAACCCACGACAGTTCTAAAGAACTGTCAAACGCAAGGTGCGAAAGGGGGGGAGTCTAGGGACTTCTGCTCGAAATGAGAACTGAACTGTATTTAGATTTTTTATCAAGGAAAATCCTACTTTATGTACCCTATATGATCCTAAATACAAAGGTTAGCATTCGAACTAAATGGATGGTTGCCACATCACTCAGTCATCAAATGATGACGGTACAAAATACGTACACGGTAAGTACCGTAAGCCTGGGAATATCGATCAATCGATATTCTCTTGCTGATATAAAACCTAAGGTCACACACATTTATCCATACCATTTATGGGAGGTCTTTGACCAATTCAGCCAAAGGCTAGTGTGACCCCGTTACACCCTCCCCCACCAGACTGACGATACCACAAACATCACTCGACTCATTCTCTCATTGAGACTTGTTACAAAGTAACGCACCCACATGGATCAACCTGGACACCTCCTGGAAGATAAGGCCGTAGCCGAATCCCTTGGTGTCGAGGACGTGGACTTTGACAGTGGTAGTGATACCAAAGTCGAGTGGGAGGAGCAATCCAAACCCATTACACCTATGTGTGGGGACATTCCCCATCCGGCACCTAATCCGTCCCCCGAACGTAGTGCCGCGATTGCGCTAACAGCGCTGGGAGCAATGTCCCCCATAAATACATCCATTATCACTAACCCGCTTGACGAGGAGCAATGACGCATGCTCGATCAAGCGGCAAGCGCACGGTGCAATTCAGAAGTTAAGACAACGTTGCAACGACACAGTAAATATGCTCTAATTCTACCTGGCGTGGAAGAGCTCATTCGTCAAGCATCACGCCATACGTTGGCGACATGGGCCACCGGCCCCAAGGCGAAAACGCCCACTAAACTCGAATGTCTCAAGGCTCTTCGAGAGAGGTACTTAGAACCTACTGTGATGACTTTGAGTCAATGCAGAGAACGGCTGCAAAAGCAGGCTTAAGGAATACCAGTTCCACAAATTAGGGAAACACCCATCATTATGTCCGAAGATGGGGACGAAACTGCGGAGGCAAATATGTTCATCCGCTGGGTGCATGGCGTTCGACGCCTCTGTAGCATGCACGCGCTACGCGAAAGTCCTAGTGTGGCAGACTTTTGTTTAGAGCGAAAGCTTCACTATGACTACGCGAATTTAAAGGCCAGAGGCCGTCTGCGGGGAGTATTACGCTCCCACTATGCTTCGGCTGCCTCTGCAGCCGCTAGTTCACGTCAATCTTTTGACAAGAACTCGCCCGCTCTCACTACAACGAGTGAGAAGCGTGACGCTCGTCAAGACGAGCTCGACCGTGGCGCTCAAAACGTCAACGGCGTATAGGCAGTCTTGCCGGAGGGGATCCTCATACTCCCATGAGTTTTCAGACTCAGGGTACCCACGCCACTTCACTAGTTATTGGTAGTGACCATGACGACGACGTCGTTGAAGTACCCTCTCCACATGAAACTGTAAGATTCCTTGCTTAACTAGCAACGCCGGTGGCGGTAGGAGTATCGGACGAAATCTATGCTGAGTTGGTGAAGAAAGTGGAGGATCTCCGTAAGACTTTGTCAGACTCAGAGCGCCCTGGGCGAAGCCCGATCTCGTCTGGCGACGTTGGAAGGCGATCGCGCCCGTCTTCAGATGATGGAGTCACGTCAGACTCGTATCCAGGCTCAACTTGACCTTGTAATTTGAATGCAAAATCCTGTGGCAACGCCAATGTACGCGGCGCAAGCGCCTTTAAGTCAACATGGCACGGGTCCCGGTATGTCTTAAGCAGGCCGACATAAAAGACGGGATGTGTACGAAATTTGCGCGGCAAGTTAAGCGTTTACGCAAGGCCTTCCTTGGCCACGACCATAAAAGGTCCAATGAAGCGCGTAGTCAATTTCGTTTTATGAACATCTGACACTACATTTGTAGATAGATTTTAGCGTTTAGCAAGACTTGGTATCCGACCTTATAGCTTTCAAACAATTTCTGCCTTTGGCATGTGCTTGTTCCTTTTGTTTATCTTGGCTATCAGCCATTGCGTCTCGCACATGTCGTAAGACATTCAACCTTGTTGCAAGGAACTCGCCAACCTGTTTCTGAACAGTGGAAGGGATGGCATCAGTGAGCCGATCGGCAATCCCTCCCCCACCGAGCCCGGAATCACGGAGTGGTAGAGTCAATGGGACGCACGGATGGGTGACGCCGTTTAAATAGAACGGTGTGTAGCCAGTCGAGGCATGGACCGAGTTTTTCATGGCAAATAAGACCATCGGAAGCATAGAGCTTCAACGCCTAGGTGTATCTGTGCAAACGCTGCGCAAAATGTCACCAATGACACGATTAACATGTTCAATTTGACCATCGGTCTGCGGATGATCCGCGGTGGACATGCTCAATCTGGTGTCGAGCACCTTGAAGATGGACTTCCAAACTACACCCGTAAAGCGAGATTCGCGATCTGAAACAATTGTCAAAGGCAAACCGTGTTGACAGAACACGCGATCGATAAACAGCTGTGTTGTACGTTCACCATCAATCGAAGCCGGCACAGCCGCTAAATGAGTCATTTTACTCAAACGGTCAACAAAGACCACAATGCCAGTGTTGCTGCCAAATCTATTGGCAAACTAAACACATGGTCCATACTGATGGATTCATAACAACCCGTGTGTATAGAAAACTCGCCAAAGGCGCAGCCGCATGAGCGGAGGGTGTGACCCTTTGACACGTTTCACACGTACGCACATGTGTGCTCACCCATTTATACAATTTGGGCCACCCATAGTGTTGGCTGACCGAGCCATAGGTCTTCTCTCGACCGAGATGACCGCCCAAAGCTTTACTATGCGTCTCAAAGAGGATACGATACTTCGATTTCTCATCATGAGGTACTACGATGCGCGGAGTATCCGCCGCAACCGTGCTATAGCACAAGAGACCATGATCGACCAACTATCGATGTAGACCTGCACGCGAGCGTGCCAACAACATATATTAAGTCTTAAAACTCATCACAACCGAGTGCGCGTAACAACGCGACATACTGATCATCCTTGGCATAGGCCGCACGGATTGGGTCAGGGATTGATGACGACGGAGTCGTAAAATGAGCAAGCTCATAATCCGGCCTGCGTGATAGCGCATCGGCCAAAGCATCTCGCTTCCCTGGATTATACTCCACCTCGAAGTTATAATTAGCGAAGAATGAAATCCAACGAGCCATTCTATGAGAGAGGTGTGGCGACTGGGTCGAAGTGCGCAATGACGCATGATCTGTGACGATTACAAATAGCTTGAATCCAAGTGGATGTACTCTGAACTTGACAAGATCATACTTCAGTGCAAGTAACTCTTTGCCATGAACTGGATAGTTCTTTTCAGCAGCTTTTAGCTGGCGAGACTCATACGCAATGACGCGCTCATGTTCATCGACATTAGTTTGCAACAATGTACTGCCAATGGCAAAATCAGATGCGTCACAGACGACACTGGAGGGCCAATCAGGATTGGGCAAAGACAAAATTGGAGCATGAAGGATACTCTCCTTAACAGCTTGAAAAGCTTGAGCCAGAATGCGTCCCAACCCTAAATTGCATCCTTCTTGAGGAGGGTATTTATTGGCCGTGCCATGTCAGCATAGTTTGCACTATACTTGTGCAAGTAATTGGCTAAATCAAGCCATTTACGCAAGTCTTTTGGATTAGACGTAACCGGCCAATCCACAATGGATTTTATCTTAGCGGGATCTGCCTGTAGGCCACGCTTTCCAATGAAGCACCCTAGAAAATAGATTTCTTCAGCACCAAAAATGCATTCAGATGCATTTGCATACAACTTGTATGTGCGCATGCACCCGAGCACTGCTCGTAAGTGGTCAATGTGATTTTCCACATCTGATCTTCCTTGTTCTGCACGGCTATGGACAAAATGTCATTAAAATAGCTTTGTGCATATTCTCTACGAGGGCGGAAAAACTGCGTCAAGAGACGATTGTAGGTTGCGGGGGCATTAAAGAGTCCCTGAGGCATAAAAAGCCACTTTCAAATCATGACACTCGGCGTGCTAACCGCTGTGAGCGGGATATTACTTGCTTGCATGAGCAGTTGGTAATAACCATCGACTAAGTCGAGTGCGCTAAGAATGGTGCAACCCAACATAGCGTTCTAAAGAACGTCCTTTCTTGGAATAGTGTCTGCGCAGGTATAGTGGCCGCATTGAGCTAATTGTAAGCGTGCACAATGCGCCACTTTCCATTGGGCTTTCTGACACAAATTGTTAGTTTCGAGTGTGGAGATTTGCTCTCCCGCACCATGCTTGCCGCGTGCTTTGCACGGAATAACTTGTCAATGACGTCACACTGTTCCTTAGGCAATGGCCATTGACGTGTAACACAACATTTGGTCCCAGGGACCAGGCCAATTTCATGACGCACACCTCTGTCGAAAGGTAGAGTGGACGGTGGATCATGACCCACAACTTCCTGAAATTCCTTTATCGAAGAAAAAAAATGAATCCGAAGGATCCTTCATAATAGCAGATCCACTGCGAGCTCTGAGTGCAACTTTAACGTCCTAAAAGACTGTCTCATCGACAAGTGATGACGAGTTCAAATCAAGCTCAGGTCTAATGACCACCATATCGGACAAAGCACCAGCCTTTAAGGCTTGATGAAACTCGTCTACAGACATTTCGTCTAGCTCTAGCAGAGCATTAATCGATGGGAGGGCCTCGAGGCTAACTTCTCCATCAATCGCACCCGACACCCCATCGACTAACGTGTATAAATGTTCACTAGTGCCCTCCGGCGTCATGGCCGAAGACTTTCTTTTCAAAGCCGCCATCTGGCGTCGCTGTCGTCTCTGTACAGAAATTGAATACCTCAACGTGTTAGGAACATCCGGTTCCACGAGGTCAAGATTATCTGCAACCTCAACCTGTTCTCTCTGATAGCCAATTCCACTACCGACATTAAGTGTGGTGCCATCACGGCTGACCTCACTTTGTGGATTTATACGTGCCACTACACTCGCATCTGTTGAGCATAGCTCTTGATACCTTGGCGAATCGCCAACAATGTCATTACCGACATTTAGTGGGGTGCCATCACGGTCGACCTCACTCTGTGGATGTTTACGTGCCACTTCACGTGCATCACAGGGGTCACACCCAGGATGACTCGACCTTAAGCCATCAACACATCCATCATTCAGTGATTCACTTTCATTTCTAGTGTCACTCAACGGAAAACGTGCCGTTTGACTATTGTCAATGACATTAGAGCTGACTAGCTCAGGCAATCCAATGTCAAGCACACTGAAATACTCCGTCAGTGGCGCGCGCCATTCGCGCTTTTGTAGCCTGGCAAAGGTGGGTTCATGACTCTCCAAAGATTCACTATGAACGTTTCGCGTTGCGCCTAAGGTCTTCGACCTCCAATCAATCCATGGCTCATGGCGCTCCAGCCAAGCGATACCAAGGATTAGATCATATCTCGAGTCCAAATCCAGGACAAGACAACGTTCGATACTATCGAAATCTAAAAAATTTAAACCCAAGTTCGACGGAACTTTAGGTACGGTGACACGAGTACCTGTCGTTAAGCAAACAGCGATAACATCACTCTCATGCGCTTTCAGCGCCTCGGCATATTGCTGACATCCCTCTAAGGATTGGCGCCGAGCACAGTTGCCTGAAGCTCCAGACTCAATTTTGATATTGACCACGGCGCATGAAAGCCCTTAATTGTAGCCGAGGCCACTAACACACCTGAGGTTATACTTAAGTCTAGTGTAAACTTCCACAAGATCGTCTGGGGCTAAGCCCTGTCTATCTAAACCACCTGAGATTTGGCAGAACATAGTTCCTCCCCAGTAGGGCGCCCCGCGCCTACTGGGAGTTGCCGTTTTCCCACTCCGTGACCACTATCGGGTTATAAGGCGGATTGCGGCTCGGCCGAATTTGACGCGGCTTTCTCAGTGAGCAATGAGGGCGCAATTGCCCGCTACTCTCGCACATGTAACATCTACGGATGTTACGTTGCTGTTCAACAGCCAGAAGATCTCTTTTATCTTCTTCAGCATGGCTTAAGTCCTTGGGCTCAGCCATATTAAATGATCTTTGGGCATGCCCATGAGTGCCATAGCAAGCGGCGTTACAGTTGTTCTCAGCATTCATCGCTATGTCTACAGCCTCCTCAAACGCTAAAGGGTGGACGCGGAAGATTTCCGTCCTCGCGATCCCCGTACGAAGGCCCTCCATAAAAATGGTGACACGGACTTGCTCTGGAAGAGGGTCCAGCTGCATAGCAGCTATGAGAGCTCGCAACTCTTGTACAAAGTCCAATG